GGCCCTTCCCTAGCTCCCTGCCCCCCCCCCCCCCCCGTGAAGCCCGCTGTATCTTGTGCTTCATGAATAGGATATGGTGTTTTTCAGAATCGCTTGCCAGCAAGCAGTTATGTCTCCCCCTCCCCATACACACTTTAATTTTTAAACCCCGTACTGTCGAAAATAACTGTGTATTATTATTATTATTTTCTCCTTCATAAAAAGCAAAGGAGTCCCAAGAATAAAAGATCTGGGCCACTGCTTAACGCAACTGGTGAGCAATGCTGAAATGTTAGACAATGGAAGGGAGTAGATTCTTGCAGGCTGTTGCCAAAAGTCTTTCCAAACACTCTGTGTCACAGCAAGTTCAGTGTTTTTGCTAAAGTGCGTAATGATCCTAGCAACAGGTTTGTGTTTTGAGTCATCTTTTGGCCATAAGAGCATTGCTACTTTAGTGCCCTCGTCTTTTCCTTTTATGCTGTTTATGTAGCACATACTTCTCTAATATATCACATGGCATTCACCAGCAGAGAGGAAATCTGTTTCTGGGAAATAAGTTTGTTTGAAGCTCAGGCTTTTTGCTTTGATACAGAGTTGTCTGTGGTTGATTATTCACCCAGTGGGGTGCATGGAGGTGGGGGTATCGTATGGGCTTTGCAAAGAATAATAATAATTGTTTTTGTCTTTCCTCAGGAAACACAGCAAGATTCACTCTGTTAGGAGCCTGACTGCCAAGCCTTCAGAACAGCATTCAGAGGTGCCAACACAAGTCAGTTATATTTCATGGATCTTTTCCGGGCCTTGTTCAGTCTTGTGCATCATAACTCAGTGTCAGGAAAGGCCAAACTGAATAGCAGCCCTGTGGCTTTAAGCAGCTTTGTCCTTTCCTCTGGTTTGGAAGGCTGCCCCAGATGAACAGAAAAATACAAGCACTAGGAAAAGATTTAACTTTAGGGTGCTTTAAAGAATGGAAACCTGAAGCTGTATGTCCGGCAGATTTCTATACTGGTCATCGGTGAATTCAATACGTTGTGCAGATAATGCTTTAATGTGCATAATCTACCTGTGGTGGCAAGGGCCATCAAATCACAGCCAGCTAGCGCAACCCCCGTACGTTTTTCAAGGCAAGAGATGTCCAGAGGTGGTTCTGCCATTGCCTGACTCTGTGTAGCCACCCTGGACTGCCTTGGTGGTCTCCCATCCAAATACTAACCAGGGCTGACCCTGCTTAGCTTCTAAGATCTGATGGAATCAGGTTAGTCTGGGCCATCCAGGGCCCAGCTCGTATTCTTTGTACTTGGAGAGAACTTTAAGATCATCCCTTTAGGATTAAGGGCAGTGGACTGTGGACTATATCAGGGATCATAGGTAGCAGCAGAGGCTGTGGATGGAGGGGAAAGAGAGCTGCTTGGCCCAAAGCGGATCTTTATAACCCGTAGAACAAATTTAGAAAAAGTGTGCCTTGCACATGGAAGCTCATGCCTTGAATAATCCTTTGTTGGTCTTAAAGGTGCCGCTGGACTCTTAAATTTGTTCTACTGCTTCAGACCAACACGCAGGCTCGTAGCCCGGATTTTGTCATTCAGGGGGCCTTTAAATAAGGAGGCACTGATGTCACAAAATAAAATAAAAATAAAAATTTTAAAATTCACTTTTGCGGCGTTCACACTCTGCTTGCCTACATGGGGAAGCAAGCCACACTTGGGGAAGGGGCGATGGTGGGGAGTAATGCAGGTGGCCCAGAGAGCCGGGGGGGCTGGATGGAAGTGGGGGGGGGCTTGGCAGGAATTCAGGGGGGCAGGCCCCGAAATGCCCCACTGTAGCTACAGGCCTGAGAACACGGTCAACCACGTGGATCTCTCTTTATGACCAGTGTTAGTAGTACTCCACCCTGCTTCCTGCAAATGTAGAGGAAATCCTTCCATAATTTGCCTGCTTGTTGAACAGTCACGAGGGCTAGAACAGTGCCATTTCCCCCACCACCGCCCCCAAACCAATCCTGATTTCTGGAACTTTCATTGAAAACAAAAGAGCTCCAACCTCTTAATTTTTTGTGGTCTAGATTTGCTGCTTTCAGGGACAGCTTAATAGCGTTGCCTAGAAACTGCTCCTAGGAAGAGAATGAGTTGGCGGCATTTCATTAACCCTTAAGTGAAAAGCAAAACATTTCATGAAGAGATGACCACTATAACCTCATAAGCATTCTTGCTAAAAACAGTCAGTTCAGAACCAGGTCATTGCCCCAATTGGACTGGCTGATACAACTCTTAAGCACTTTGTTACCATATAATGCTTTGAAACCTGCAGGTACCTCTGTCACCTGAATTTATCACCTTGCCTATCTATGCCAGGGGCTAGTACTTTTTTTATTACCACGACCCTTTATGTCATCATTTGGTGAAGATCACATTTCAGTTTTTCTGATGGGTTGCGCTGCTTTCTCTCTAGTCTGTAGATTGGCAGTTCCTATTAGTGCAATAGGGTGGAATTTTGCAAACTTGTTAGATGCATAGCAAAACATCTCAGTGTCTGCTCAGATCATGGGAATTCAGCAACTCTGTACACGAAATTTGTCTTTTCTGCGAAGAGCATTCCTTGCTGCGTAGCCACTGTTCTAAGAAGTCAGAGGAACTGTTGCCTCTTCTGGGGTTGAGAGGTTTCAATCAACTGTGCTGTCAAGGGCGAGAGCAGTCCGTTCTGCCTCGTGTTTATCAAAGCTGTTGTGCTCCCTGATTTGCCTTCTAGCCCCCATTCTGCCTTAACGTTTCCCCTTTCCCACCTTTTCTTGTTCTAGAACTCTAGTTTTACATATGGCGACGATGCCGATTCCCCGGTGGTTCAGAGCATCTGGCAGGGGAAAGAACTGAAAGTTTCAGTGGAAGACGGCGGGCGGCGGGCAAGCCCTTCCCTAAAGAAGAGCCCGAAGGAAGA